CTTATGCCCAAGAACGAAACCTCAAACCTTACCGATATGAGCTCGCCGGCCTCGGCCAAGGGTCAGCCCGTCGACGCAGATAACCCCCCGATGCCCATGCCGAAACGCCGTCCGCGATTCGTCGTACCCGCCGCCGCCAAAGATGCGCCGGCGCCTGTCATGGCAATCAAGAAGGATGGCCGACCGAAACCGTACCACATCGAGACCCCAAGCATCGCCCCCCGATATGCGCCGTTTAGCAAACCGAGGCCCGACGCCGCAGCCAAACCAGGCTTTGGAGGTTCGAGTAGTGGCGCGCGAGATATCCCGGATATGGGGCACGCCGACTTCTTCCCGTGGACCGGAAACCACCCCGAAGACCAATATACCGAATCGATCATCAAGAATGGATACTATGATAAACAACCGCAGGCCTCGGTCGAGACACAATCTGCCAAGGCTGCACTGTTTCCCGCCCTCAAGCATAAGAGCGGGCTGAACTTGTTGTCCAACATCTTTATCGGAGTGCTAAACCAGAGAAAGCTTAATGGCCAGATCTCGTCGCCCTCGACCTTCAAGCCGCCGCCGCGCGTTACCCTGACCGATACGAAGCGAGAAATGTGGCTGAGGGACTTGGCGAACCCATCGATATCGTTGCGCCGACTGAGCCGAACGATTCCCCACGGTATCAGAGGCAAAGTGCTTCTAGACCACTGCCTCAATAAGAACGTGCCGACAGAAAGAGCAGTCTGGTTGGTCAAGTGCGTTGGCGCCAATGAGATCCGAGCCTTTAAGAGAAAGGGAAACGGCCCTGGACCCTTTGTGCTCGGTGGCGAGGCAAAGTGGCTCAGAGACTGGACGGTTTTCGTGGAGCAATTTGTGGAAGGAGTCTCGGCGGCCTTTGGGGACAACGACTGGAAAACCAAAGTTCAATATGCGTAAGTCTACGTCATGCGATGCTTCATGTGTGCGAGCTAACCTTGATATAGCATCCGACTTGCGACACACCTCTATGCGGAACAGCTACTCGACCGTGACCACTACATGGATTGGCTTGTATCCGGGTTGGAGAACTCGACACAATCAAAGTTGCCAATGTGGATTCTCACAACACAGATTTACTGGAAAGACTTGCTTCGTTTAAGAAGATATGGCCGACGATTGGTGAATGCGTTGCTCAGCCATCTCAACACGGTACGCCAGCTCAGACCCACAGGGAGTTCGCAACTAACTGTTCAGATTTATAACGATCCCGACCGCGATATCCTCACCCAACTCTCTACGAGGTTGACGTCTCTACTGACACCCCTATTGTCCGCCTACTCGGACAACTTCGTGTCTCCTGCGACTTGGTTCAAGTACAGAGACGCTCTGCTCGCATCTATTCCGATCGATAACGACTTTGCCCAAAACGCATTCAAGTGGATCAATGTCAGAAACGAGCAGCTAGTTGCATCAGCCAGCAACTCCCAGCCGGCAAACCGACAAATACTGGTCAAGCATCTCGACACCTCATTCATGTCTTTGTACAGCCCCGACTTGGCTACGCAGTGCTGGGCTGTTAGTGAAGACAAGGGAATGATAGTTCGCACATTATTGGAGTGGTGCACCTCGCCTCACCGACCAGGCAACACAAAGGTGTACATCACTGCCAGTCTTCTTCGAGCTTGGGCGGCTGCTGGAGTGGATGTGACGACGGCGATTCTCGAGTTTCTTAGTGCAAACCCACCAACCGAGACAAGATCAAAGAAAGTTTTCCACCAGCTGGTGTCAGAAATCGTACGATCAGGGGACTTCCAACTTCAGGGATACATATTCTGGCTCATTGCCCGAGGCGGACTGAGAGAACCGGCCGATACTGAGGCAGATGGATCTTGTGCTACAAGGCTGCTTGTCGACCTCCCTCTCCACGCCCTTAACTCTTCTGCCCAAGCCACACGAGCAAGCCTCCTACGACGAGCATCCTACGACGTCAACGACGAAGCCCAGGATATTAACACAGCTCTCAAATGCATTCAGCATGTTATGGGACTTCCTCTTCCGCCTGGAGATCCGATGCTCCAGCGGAAGCCCGTACCAGTCGGAAAGCTCTGCAGGCTGATTATCAACAGCAACCGAGCATTGCAAACCGAGGTCGGAGCTAGGCTTCTGCAAATATTCACCAAGGAAATAATTATGACGAAGAACGGCCCCCAGGTCTCCCCGGCTATGTTCAACTTCGCTCGTGCTGTTCTTGAAGCGGCCTCCGACTACTCGGTTCTCGTCGAAGTTGTCAAGGTGGTGTCGAGAGCTTCGAATCCCGAGATTCTTGCCTCCTGCGCCGATACTTTCAACGTCCACCTACCGATTTTCTCAGCACTGGGCGTGGCCAAGGAACTGTTCGATGCGCTGATGGAAAGGTTGAAAGCGGTTAGCGACGAACAAGGACCTGCTGCCCGACCTCTCTTGGCGTCTCTGGCAAATCTTTCGACCATGATACCCGGTTACACGAATACTGCTGTCTACTTGCGTCAGCAGCTCCACCAATGCGATCGCAATAACCCTATCGACGCATGCTCGCCCGTATCTGATAACATGACGGCACAGCTACAGGATGCCGAGGGCGAACTACACGAAGAGATCGAGAAGCTTTTGACGAGCGGGACCAGCGTCGATCGGCCTACCATGGACCGACTTTTCCAGACCGTGGTCGGACGGTTGGAATCTTGCTGGTTAAAGTCAGCTGACAGACAGCGTGCTTATAGCGCACTTCTCGGGAGGCTGCGCATTTTCGACGCTCAGCACTTTGATGTGCGCATGACTGACTGGGTCCATCACATCAGCGCGTTGAAGACTCGCCCTGCGCTGGAAAATATCTACCCCCTTCTCATCAGCATGGGCTGTCTGACCTTGCCCATTATTCTTACCACGACATCCGTCGAGGCAGGGAGGATCGGGCTGAACCCCTCGATGCCACCTAACAGCACCACGACGTACATGCAGGAAGTCCTCTCTCTGACAACGATGCCCCTTCCCGCCAAGACCGCATTAACACCCGAAGAGACCTACCGATTCTATATCCAGCAACGAGTGGCGCCACGTCAAAACCACAAGGATATGGTCTATCTTGTGAGGAATGCTCTCGTCGAGTTCTCGAGGCTGCAGGGAGTCGTCGAATCTTCGATGCTGCCACTCGCAAACCCCGAAATTAAGGACACAGCACTGCAACTGCTCAAGTTCTTGGTTCTGCGGGATCCTCCATCGGTGGTTCAAGCGCTGGGTATCAAGAACCCAGAAACTGCATTGACAAGTCTGTTTGCACAGGTTACGACCAAACTCCTACTACCGGATGCTGGCGATGATTCACCACTGACGTTTGAGACGGTTTTGGAATTGGCAAACGAGTTTACTCTCCCATTCTGCCAGCTCAAGCTTTCGGTTGGCCTCGCGGCGGATAGCACGACAAGCCCGGGAGGAGGGGAACAGGCTCTCACGCAGTTCGACATGTTTTCGAGGGCGATGGACCGCGCTGTGTCAGCCAACAACGTCATGTGGACTAGCATGCTACCCTACCTGAGCGAGGACATAACGGAGCATCTTAAGAAGCAGGCTCATCTGCGTTTCCTGGGTCTCTTCCCGTCAAACAAGAACCCACCTGCTGCGGATCCTCTTTCTCAGGAAAGCACTCAGCTCGCAGGAAGTCTGCTTTCAGTAGTCGAGGCGATCCTGAGAGGTCGTCCGCCTGTCCGAACATCACAGCTCACTTCGGGCATGGTTGAGAAGCTTGCAGAGCTGTGGGAAGTCCTGGCAACCGACGACATCAACAAGAGAGACCTGCGCGCCTCAATCATCCGCTACTGGCTTCCCGCCTTGTTGCGGTTCATCACGCTCCACACGACTGCAAACGAACCTGCGCCGGTAGCGACTCAACCCCAGGCCGCCAACAACATGAAGCCGCCCGCCAATGCTGCTGTTTTCGAGATTCGAGCGAGAATCCTGATTGTTCTGTCTGGTCTTACTCTCGAATTGGACAATCTAGCATTCCAGGACGCTCAAAATGGCCGACCGCTCAGCCAGCAGGTTTTCGATCTGGCCCTACTACTAGTCGATACTTTGCCAGACGACATACGCCTGCAGTGTGTACGAGTCTTGCTTACAGGCGGCACCATGCAGAACCCAGCATCCTCAGATGCCCGTCTCCGATACCTATTTAGTCACATGCCTCCAACGACGGAGCAATTCGTGCTTGCTCATAGACAGCAATCTACTACACAACCAAACGGGCCGCAGAGAATCAAGATGCCGATCTCGATGCAAGGCACCGATAAATTAACGCCGTTCATCTACCGCAAATGGGAGATGCTCAGCGAGCCCACTCCCAACGTTGGAGAGAACGACACGGCTCTCAGTCTCACGTTATTTGAGGCGATCAAGATTCAGTAAACAAATTGGAGGAAGCGTTGGGGATACACACACACACACACACATACACACAAACATTTCATTACTGTCATGCATACGTCGGAAGAGAGGCGAGGTGTTCATTCATAGATACCATTACTGGTCCAGATCGGGATTGTAGAATCAGGCAGGCGAGGGGGGAGCAACGAGAAAAGATCCTTTTTTTTTGATACCAGGATGGAAAGTCAATAGTCGGTCGGCGTCGGCTGGCTTGGAAAGATTGAAGGAGAGGGATGGAGGGGGTCGACATGATTGTACTAGTGAGGCGGGCATTAGGGGGGGGTTTCCTTTTTCATCATCATGACAACAACATTACTATTTAAATGTGTTTATGACAGCTTTGTTCGTTGCAGATTGTGTGAGATTGTGACTTGCTTGTGACAAAGTCATGGTGCTTAAAAGTTAACCTAGGGATTATATGTACTAAACCCCGGGGCTAATTGATATAGCATCCACGAACGACCAAGCACAGGCACGAGAACATCAAGCAAAACCTTGACGCATCTCAAGGAAGGTTTTAGACACCACAATCTCGGATTCAAGTCTTTCTTATGGTATAGACATAAAATGTACCATTTGACCTACGAATCACTCCCAGTTCCAACCTGCAGCCGGCTAGCTGCCTTCGCCTCCCTCCTTGCCTCCCTCTCAGCAACAACATCGCGTTCTATATTCAGAACATCGGCAAATGAAAGCACAAGCCGGGCTGCTTCATGATCTTTAGGTACCCAGCCAAGATACGGATCCTCATCCCGCCGCAACTGCAATCTCTGTATGAATCTCTCGCGGATAATGGCCGGGATGTTGTTGCCTTCCCTCAGTCGCCTCTGTCTGGATTCGAAGAGAAGTTGCATGGCCTGCAGCAGGGAGATTTGGGACGGAGAACGGGGCACTATTTCCTTCATTTGGTTTTTGAGGAGCGAGTAGAAGGAGAATTGGCGGTTGGCCCCGCTGAGGTAGGTATCTTGGAGGCTGAGCTCGTAGGATGGGGGGTAGAAGCCGGAGAGTTCCCAGTCTATGATGGCGGAGAGCTGGTAATCGGATGCTTCGTTGTGACAGGTAGAGGCAGAGTCGGAGTCGGACGGTCTGCTGACGATGATGTTGCGGGGGTTGAGGTCGTTGTGGCAGAGGACGGCCTCGCGATACCACTCTTCCATGCTGCTCTTCCCAACTTTCACGAAGCCGAGGTCTGAGTATTCCGACTGTACGACTAAATTACCAGACTCTGTGGTGGCCATGGTGTGAAAGGGTCTCCCACTCAGCTCCCACCTCTTGGCAACGGCGCCGAGAAAAGATGGTCCGTCCTTGGAAGCGAAGAATCCCGTGCTCGGCCCGCCCATGACCCCTGCTCCCCCAAGAATGTGCTCTCCTGAGGGGCCTGAGGCTCGAAATAACTCATTCTTGGCCAAGTATTGTATTCGGGCTAGGAAGTCGCGTATCCAAATAGAGTGCAGTTTTCTCAATGCTTCGACCAGAGCAGTCACAACGGACCGTTGATTTTCCTCACTCATCTGCTCCCAGGCTTCTTCCAGTGTCTCCCCCTTGACAAACTCCGTCACACTAAAATGTACTCGTTTGCCTTTAGCATTGTTGGCCACACCAATTTGACACGTCTCTGGGATTAGTTCATGAATGGCAAGCGAGGCAATCTGCTGCATGGCTGAGACGGTAGCAAATTGCGTAGCTTCATCGTCTCCGGCTACGACCTCCAGACGGACTAGATACGAGGGAGGAGGCTCGCTGGCATCTGGCTCGCGGGCATTTTGCTCGCGGTCATCTGGGATGCTGGCTTTGAAGACGCATTTGTCCCAGGTTTGTACGAAGATCTTACCTATGGAGATGTGAGGTTGGTTGGGGAAGATGTGGTTGAGGATGACGTCGTCAGGGGCGAGATTTCGAGGATCCATGGTGTAAGACAGTACGAGTCTGTGGCGTCGAAATGATGAAGGAGGGAGAAGTGAGGGCCATTTTGAGGTTTATGGGAATTCGAGGTTGATTATCATTGCGGTAGTTATCTAGCAGCGGCGCAGCCTTTACCCCCTTCACCGCCTTAATGCTGGTGTGACATATGGGGGTCTTTGTCAAAGTGAACAAACAGAACCGATGGGCTGCACAGCGAACATAGAAGCGGGGCAGGTTCTGTTTACCCTCGGGAAGGCTGGTCCATTATGAGGTTGGATAAGGAAAGCCCATAGCTTTTGAGGTAAAAGGAGACATGGAAGTCTGTCTTTGTCCATGAACAGTCAACAACAAGGGAGGTGTTCCAAGAATACGCGATGACATATGCTGTATCCTGGTCCCTACGTGTGCTCGATTGCGCATTTCAAAGAAATATACTCCTCATTCTATTTTGTGATATCTCAAGTGAAAGAATGACAAAACTGCAAACCCATCTTTTTCCATGCCTAATACCGAACCTCCTAGGCTCTCATAACTGAGCGCCAAGCATTAAATGCCACAATAAATGCACCACAGCACGATTTCCAGCGTAATAGTGTGACGGACATCCAAAGCGCAACGCTAACATGTGAACGTCAGGCCGAATCATTCCAACTTAGGCTCAAGTGAGGCTTGAAAGAACTGTGACGTCAACGTCAAGGCCCTTCTACAACTTCCTTCTCGGCCATTAGCTTAGGATGAGTCGTTGCAGGTGCAGACGTCGGCGCTTCCGGCGTAGTTCTTACCACACTTGCCGCATTCATTCTTGTCGACAAGTTCAACCTTTGTCGCAGACTTCTCCAGGGTGGGGTTCATATCGATGTGCTTCGTCATATTATTGGTCTGCAGTAAGTAATGGCTATTTGAGGCTGTACTTTCTTTAGTTGCTGGTATTCTTCGTGTATGTGTTTGGGTGTGTGTATATGTGTGGAGATGAAGACTAAAATTGACAGGAAAGACATCCAGTTCGCCCTCTTAAATCTCAAATGCTCTTGCGTGGGTGATAACTTAAGGGAGCCTTGTTGCACTGGAGGCTCTTTTATACAGCTTATCTCAATATTTAATGTTCGCTGCCCTTGCTCAGTTGTTCACTGCAACTGTGTGTTCACTGCACCAGCTCACACGCTGACTGGTTGCGAGGTATCTTGAGAAGGAATCTGCGTATGCACAAAGAATTCAGACAAACAATCTTCTCGTCTCTCTCCATTTATTCTTTATGAGTGCATCATCACTGATGTGTGTGCTAATGGAGCCTTTGTCTGATACCATTACTAGAAGCCAGCCTTTAGCCAGAACAGCCTGTCTGAGGTGACGCAAAAAGATGTCTAAAGCGTAGAAACAGCACAAAGACGAAAATCAGTCACTATGGTCTTCCAGTAACTTCTTTCTTGGTTGCTGGGCAGAAATCTGAAAAGTAGTCTGCGAATTTGAATATTGTACTTATCTTAGCATGCCGAGGTCCGACAGCGGTGGTATGCGTATTCTAGATAAGGTCTTACATATCTCACTACAGGGCTCATTGGGTGTTTGGTCTTACTAAGTTTGAAGACCTGCTTTATTAAGGGTACATGAAAAAGCAATGAAATCAGAGACTTTGTAGTTCGCATAAGACTTTTACCAACGATGAAGCAACATGCCTGACGTGACCGCACCAAAACCGCCGTCAGTATAGACGCATACAGCATGATGGATATAATACCGACTGGTACCTGACGGGTCTCTCCCAATATTTCTTGTGTGTTACAGTACAGTAACTAACTATGACGATGGACAAATTCATAATTTAACAACAACCCTTAAGTTCCTCTGTGGTATCCTTGACAGGACATTCATCAGCAGGACACAGACCAAGCTTGCCACTTCCCAAGCTTGGAGCTCGATAATCTGCAACAGCGTTAATAGTCAATAACAACATGTAGCTCCGACGCAGGACAACTCACTGAACACATCCGTCCTGGACCTGATTGATACGCTGCCAGTTGGTAGGATCGCTGATGGACGCCACGCAACCTGCAAGCCCGGGCCGTGTAAGTCGATCCGTAAAAATGTCGATTGTGCAGCCTCCAAAGACGATGTTGACGCTCTTTGCGTCATAATTGGCAAAGCTCTTGTTGATACTCGTCATGGTGAAGCACTGGGCGAGGTGTTCGGTTCCCGTGTTGGAGCCACCACCGTAGTGGAATGTCGTACCGCCGGCGCATTGGTCGTGGTCGTGGAATGTTACTGACCAGGCTGAGGCGGTGGTCACGGCGGAAAGAAGAAGAGCGAGCTTCATTTTGGAAGTAATTGAATAATAGTAAAATAAGTGATAGTAATAATTGAAAGAGAATAGAGGGTTTAGTGTTAACTCTGGCTTGGCAAAGCTTGGTTTATGTAGTGTCGTTAGCGACATGCATGTACAAAAGGCATCTAAGGCTCGAATTTCTCATGTTTGTAGATCAAGAACTCATCAAAGTCACGCGTATCGTTACAATCGTGAAGGTTTTCATAGTCTGCTATCTCATAGATTGCTACTTGCTCGCATCCATCAAGTTGTGCGGATAATCGGCATGCTTTGAACATGGGCTATGTGGGGCCATTGCGAGCTCATGTACTGATGGTCAACGTAGTATAATTAAGACTTACAAGAGCTAGTAATTCTAGGGATTACAAAGTTTGAAGTTACGGGATGGCCGAAATTTGATGCGAGATGTGCGAGTAATTCGGCTTCGTCTATCTATTCTAGGGGATTGGTTCCCGAAACCGAGAGGCGTAACTACTAACGGGCCTGTGCCTGACTCGCCCTTTTCCTCGCTCAGAATGCTACTAATGAAAAGCTAGTAAACACCTTTGAAGGGATTTTAGCAAAATCCTCTGGATGATTGTCAAGACGACGATTGGTACATTCTGCAGTACATTCTACCTGATAGCGACTCGACATTTACTTTTGCAAGTATAGTAGATATGTCCCCCCTATCTGTAGTAAACTTAGCAGATTCTTGAGAAGTGATGCCAAGTCTAAAAAAGTCGCAATAAGAGCTAGAAGTCACGAGCTCTTGTGGTATCCGTTACATTGAAATCTTCGTCTAAGATCATTGCCAACTTTAGACTTCGAGTATGTTTAAGGATGGGTTGCACAGGCAGAACGATAACGGAGTAGAAGTGGATGAAAGGCAGAGCCACCATTAAATATCTTGATGCAGTCTCATATGACTTCATTATGATATGTTGTGTATACCAGCCCTCCATCATCAGAATGAAGAAAAAATGTTGCCGACATAGATCGCAAGACCCTCAGAACCTTCAGAACAGCATACAGATTATGGGTGATGTCGAAAAAGAGACTTTTCTGTCTGTTGAGCGAAACGGAAATGAAAGCGCATGGTTCAAATTCGAACCCCCAGAATCAAGCCAATAGCTGGCGCATGCCTTTGAAAAGACCCCCGTCACCCCCCTCATAGCCTTTAAGCCTAGCTGAGCCTGTTTCGATCATGGTTTGGACCATGAGACCGACGATGCTGTCTCCCGTACGTTGACCCTGGCTTGGGGCGGAAATGGGATCAACGCTCTACGGTAAAGTGGCTTCGACTTGATCAAGGCCCGATTCCCTATAAATCAGACGAAGCTGTCCTTCTCGACGATTTTCCGCACGTTGCGTCTATCCCACACCAGATAGCTAGCTATTATTACCAACAACAAAGGGATTGTCACAGCGAGATAGAGCCAAAGGCCTGGCTCGATGTTGAGTTTCAGCATGCCGTTCACAGACTTGACATCAACATAGTCCATGTCTAAGAACCCCTGTCTCAATGATCAGCAAGAGTTTCGCACTGATACAACAACGTATGCTATACTTACAGCCACAAAGGTTGGGGGAAGAAAGCAGAGGGTAAGCAGGGCCAAAATGCGCATAGTATATGCCTCGAAGATGCTTCTCGCCGTCATGCGCTCAATTATGTGAGTATTGCGGAGATTGACGAGATCTCGAACCTGAACCATACCGTCTAGGTCAGTGATCAGAACATATAAATATTAGGTTCTACATTACCATTGCAGTGACAGATTCCAGCTTTGCTATAATCAAAACAACATGTCTCTTCCGGAACTCGAGATCTCTTATCACCGCCTCCGCAGTGTCTGACAACTTGTCCTCGCCCTCAAGTTGCTGTAAAGACCATCGTACTGGCTTTGCGCCCATTCCTTGCTGAACGGTCTGAATTGTCAATATGTTGCCCTCAAGGACATGGGTCGCTGTTTGCAGTCTGTCCATGAGGGCAAGAGCTGCCTTTAAGCTCTGAGTATTAGCCTCCCCAATGTTCGAACAATGAGGATCCGTGATTTTTGCATCTAGTCTCTAACGGATGTTTTAGTAATCGCCTTGAAACAAAGTTGTAGTAGCTTACTATCTCTAGCACAGCGCGGTGAAGACACGATATGTACGCATCCCAATTTTTTGTCAAGCTTGCGAATGCCAAAGTGATCATGGTTAACCAATGGTCATCGTCATCTTCCAATTTAGTTTTTGTGGTATAGTTTTCTTTGATCATATTCCAAAGGTGGTAGGAAGGGTTGATCAGTATTGTCATGTAGTCGTCTTTTCCGTGGGTGCATATTCGGGATTGGTAAACCCCCTGGTGTCTAACTGACCATCTTGAAACCCCACTCTGCTTGCTTGAATCATGAAACGGGCGATTGTTTTCCTCTACATACTTGAAAATAAGACTTGATTCAAGCCCTGCGCTTCCTTTAGTGCATGTCTGATGCTGTGTGGGTAATGAAGCTTACTTCTTGAGGTCCTGAAGGGGCAGAACTGAGGGCTCAGATAAGTGCCAAATCTGTCAACGTAGCAACCTGAACCATCAGGGCTAAAACTCTCAAGCACTTTATGGAAACCATCGAACGGCGAAAGATCATTGAGAATCGTTTTCAAGCCCTCCTCGCTGATCATCAAGGATCCTTGGGAATTCGACTGGCGAATGATCCTACTGGGTGTCAACAATGCTCACCGCATCCTAGATGATCTACAGATTGGCCACTTACATTAACTTGCTGGTTTTGCCAGATTGCGTAGACTCCTCGTCGGGGTTTATTCTGATGAGTACCAAATAAGTACTAGAACGTGTAATCGGGCCTCATTGCCGGTACAGGACTCACAGGAACCGATGTAGTTCCCCCTCATTTTGGTTATCTGAAGAGTTCAAGTTTGCGGGGCAAAAACGCTCTATGTTGGTTTAGCACAAGGCATCGCCCTCCAGACCTTTATCCAAGAATTCGTACTTAAATTCCAAGCTCTCACAGCTGATGAAGCCGAAAATTGTGACTTATCTCCTAGCATGTTAAAGTGGCCCGTCGTTGGCATGTTGCCTGAAACTCAAATCAATGGCAGTGGTTGATAGCCATCAGTTGTTCGTTTTGTAGAGATTCGGCGCAAGTGTGATCGCCTTCAGTGCATTCCAGCCTGCTTACTTTTGTGGTCACCTGTAGTCAGCGTGGCTACTTTAGGTATGCGCATGTAGTCTTGCAAGGCATAATTTCATCAAGGCACCGAAGAATCGGAGAACTTGGCATTCGACTACATCCAACGGAATTGTGTACACATGCGGTAGGCTTGGAATTTTCGATGATGGCGAACCATTCTGGCAAACCCTTGCTGGAAGCTCCGCTCAAAGAACCAGTCATATCCCGTATGGGGGCAATCCTCCCGTATCCCGTTTTACGCCACTATCGCATGGTGCGTCACACAAGAATTTGGTTTCAGGCAGCAGTGGCAGTGGTTACGAAAAGTCCTTGGCTTTGTTGGCAAGGTCTTTCCACTCGCGGATGACACTCTGTACAATGCCAGTCACATCAATCTCTGCCTGATAATTACATAGAGTTGGCCATTCTTACACTTGGTATTTTCTCCGGTGCCCAGACTCTATGGTCGCCGCTGCCATCGTCCACTGCCTACGTGATAGGATCTGTCAGTACTGCACTTGGGGGCGGACGTATTTAGAGCCTTGCAATGGAAGCTGACCTTGATATAGTAGTCGTAGACCCACCTATCGTTGTCTCTGTCAAGCCTTGGCGGATACTTCTGTTCTAACCATGCTTGAAGATGTGCAATATCGATATAGAAAGATATGTCGGTTGTCACCAACGAGGAACGTCGGTTGAAAAATATTGCAGGCATAGCTGATATGATGGCTGCGTTTCCCCGCGACTGGTGTTGGATTTCCACCACGGGCATGTAGCCTTAAATGCTTTTGGAGAAAGTCATGTCATGCCCCCAGCCTCCAATGTACCCTATCAGCTTTAAATAATGTCTCTTGGCAAATACACACCGAAATCCTGCATCAAGGCTCGAGCTTCGGGTAGCAAATGCAAAACGAGGCGGACTAGCAGAGGCGCCCCTCCCACACCTGCAGAAAAAGCGGCACCGGTCTATGTTGGAGCTACCCGAACTGCAAACACACTTCACACCTGGCGACAAGGCAAAAGTCCCATGAAAGAATTAAAAAAAAATATCAAAAAAAAAGGCCATGGCTGAATTTCCGTAAGTACGCCGCGATACAAAACGAGTCTTCTCGATAGCTTTTGGGAACGGTATGCAGACTCCATTCAACTTCCACGATTCTAAAGTAGCCGCGGATGCGCCTACATGTGAGAGAATCCAAAGGTATTCGATTGATTTGACTCCAGCTAATAGTAGCTAATAGATCAAAGCCTGTCTGCATGTTCCGACAGAATCAAATATCAAGCAAGGAGGGATCATGATGAATCCTATGAAAGAGACCATTCATATGTAGAAAGACTTTAAGATAGTTATGTCCTATATTCTTTAACACAAGCCGGTGGTTATGTCAATCCAAATTTCCATGGCGCTGTACGCTTATAATTAGTACGTTGTATGGAACCAGCGGGTATGAGAGCTGTAGCAGTGAATTCCTAGCCACATACCTCTATCTCAACGAAATCCAGGAATCCATGATGAGGGTGGCGGTGATTCAGGTCTATCTCTCTCGACTCTCTCATGTCCTGGAAATCCTGACAGAAAGAGCATACTCTTTCTGCGTCTTCGTTATCATCGACTCCATGTTTCAGGAGCCTGAATTGGTATCCGAACAACTTGTAGATTTCCTCGGCGGAGGCTTTTCTGATTAAGAACCACCAGTAGAAGCAACCAACAATCATGAGGGAAATCATGATTATTAGGTGGACAAAATCGGCAAAGGTTGCCTGCGGACCCGTCCACGCATCTATGGCTATGAGAAACAGACTGCCTGAGCAAATGAATGCTCCCAGGAGAACCTGTATAGCGCCGTCTGTCAGCGCGCCGATTGACCAGTCAAAGGTTCTTCGACGTCTAGTCCACCAAGTCTGTGGCGGGGGCGAATTTTCGGGAAACCAGCCAACGGCAGGATACCCGCGAGGCTTCAATCGATCATCGACTGGCCTAAACCATATGAATCCAAAGCCGACGGCAGCTAAGATGCATCAGGATTGAGATAAGCACATGTCATTATGGCTGATCTGCCCAGGTTTGAGCACTCACCTTCAATGATAAAATGGCCATAAACAAGAAGATCGGCCGAAAAAGTGATAGCGTTGCTAATTTCATTGATCGGCGCCGTGACACATATATAGAATATGGTCACAATCCAATGCAAAACTATGCCTCCCTCTGGTGTGCCTGGATAAGCAAACCCATCATCCTTCTCAATTGACATCTTGGCACGCAGTGGAGTGTAACGATCACCACGAGGTATTAATTGTCTCTGAGATCTGAGTGGCCCCGGTCGTTTCCAATAATCAGAAAAAGGTAAAACATTGCTCCAAGCGATGGATTGCTTAACTACACAGTTCCAACTTAGTTAGAGATACTGCTGAGACAACTAATGATAGCCGCGCTGAGGCTGAAGATCGTACCTCGAACGCAGGTGTAGGTAACACTTATCATGCTTCCAATGGCCGAGAGGGCTATGAGGACTGCGGTCGCTACAGCTGCTTTTGGAGATGGCTGATCGGTGTCTTGACCATCGAAAAACTGACAGATTTGTAAGCTTACTCTAGATATCTCACGCTTTGTTATGCCTTACAACTACGGCGTAATTCTGAAGGTACTTGGGGTCGTCTTCTTTAGCCTGATCCCAACTGAAGGCGCAAGACTGAAAAGGTGACACTTGTTAGAGCAAGTTTGAATGTGGTCCTGTTGATGATGGAAAACTTACTACGAGTATAGCAATGAGTAGATAAGCTACGCCAACAATCGTCACAGCCCATTGAGTTCCCTTCTTCAATACAGAGAAAGACGGAATTTCTCCAGACACCTGATAAAGTCAGAACTTTGCGCGAGCAATCGCTTTGGTTATCAAGCGAGATCAACATACTAAAGTAGCGTTCTCCCATCCATGAAAGCTGTATAAGATCGTAATAAATGCAGTCTGCCATTTTGGTTTTGCAATGTCCCGGGGTTCCAGCTTCGAGTCAGAAGGTCCTTTATGCCAGTCATCTGTATGAGAATTGCCTTTACTCAAAAACGAGATGCCAAAACATGCAATTACTAGGAGTAGAATGAGCTTCAAGAGAGCAGTGACTCTGTTGATCAAGCGGGAGTTGGAATTTGACAGGTAAAGCATCATGCAAATTGCGGTAGTGACAGCGACTGCGAGAAAGCGTAGGACATTTCCATCAAGAGCCTGGATGTCTTTCAAACTGACTTGGCCGCTTGATGCTAGTAAGCATTGTGCGGCAAATTGCATGGCATTCGTACTCGTTGTATAGACGAAAACGAAGTAGAATGCGTAGAGAGTAGTTGCCAATAAAGGATATCGATGAAACATATCGTCAAGCTATCAAGCATCTGTGAGTGAAGTTACAGGCTGGAGTTCTGAGCATTTGGCTTCGATTGTATTAAGCCTTGTCGGGAAAATGATTCGAACTCACATAAACAAGTTCCCCCCCAGTGAATGGAAGTTTCCGAGCAAATTCGAGATACATGATCATACTGTTTGAGGCATCAGCGACTAATGGAGAAATGAGTGCTTGCTAGGAAATGTGACTTTACCTAAGGATTGTATAGCCCAAACCGCAGAACCATAATCCAAGTGCAAAAGCCTTACTGGGTGAATTGATGAGTACTATGTATGGGCCAACAAATATGCCCGTACCAATCATCTTGTTAATGATGAGTGCTGCTACATCAATGGCGGTAAGATGGCGTGAAGGCTCTCGTCGGCGATTTCGGTTGGCGTTCGAATATCTTTGCGATGCTGTGTCATTGTTTTCATGGTAATTGTTAGAGGGGAAGCCCTGATGATCCCGACCGGTATGTCGATCGTGAGGAGGGTGAGAGGTTGAAGTCAACCGGCTGAGGGCTATGCCATTCGTGTTCGTTGGAGGCCTCGCGTGCCCGTTCGCCCTTGACTCCATGTTGTGCCTTGTAATTATACGATCTGATGATCGAAGCACGGTTTTGTTGAGCTTTTACGCAGGACAGTGATCAAGCTCAAAGACAGCAGGTGGAGGGCCGTCATCATTATTTACGCTTCTACCACACACATACGGCCCGAGCCTGCATTTGGTGTCCCATCCATCTTGCAACATTCATGTCGGCCAATGCCCTGTACAAAATCTTCCTGCAGAGCACTTGACTAGGATTATCGAGGCAACCAGTTGCCTGACGAGCAGTTGAGCAGGCTGAGACAAATTTTGGAATCCCCACCAATGAGAGCCTCATGTGATATCGTATCGTTGGCAACCAACCTGACCACTGTGCCACCTGCCTGTTTGGAGCATGCAAACACACGTAAGACCGGGAGGCAAAGCCTCTTGGGCTTTCATCTTACCTACTTCAGAAAGTGCCCCAGGGCTCCTTGCATTCAAACCGCCATGTGGCGGTGTCATTTTTAGCAGCAAAGCAGACAAAGTATTTCCGTAACTTTGAGCTGTACTGCCGTACAACGCGTCTCGTCTCTTGCCCGCCACCTCCTAGTGGTTATCTGCATTAGCTGAAGCTCGCCGCGTCGCGAAAATCAAGTTGAGACTCGGGCTCGATCCCATCCCGCCCGTCAAGACCATGCCTTTATCGAGGACTTCACTACCGACTCGCTGCAATGAATAATAATCAGAGGCAAAAGGCCGCTGAACTTCTCAGACAATGCGCACGGGAAGCTAATTGCAAAAACGATGAGTTACTGAACATACTTCGAAGCGAGACAAAAAGGACGGGCGGTCAACTGCGAGACGAAGGCCCGTCCGACGACAAAGGAGCGATGCTACCAACTCCAGAGAACTTGAGATCGGCATTTACGACTGGCAGTCATTTTCTCAGGTGCACCTGCAACTTATGCGAGCCTCCACCAAGGAACAGCCGCCTCGAAACGACATCGAGTGAGGACGCCGCATGGGTCTGCCCCCGCAAGGAGAGACTGGAGGACCTTGCCATCCTGGTCTTGTGCGGGTGTCTGTACATATCCAGACACCCAGAATTCGTTCAAGCAGACCGTCTAGTAGACTTTGCTACCGACGAATCCTTATCAACGGATATAATCGCCGACAACATCTTCGGGAGACTGGCCACGCAACCGGGCCAGTGTGCCCTATGCGAGACACGCACAAGCAATGGCCCTGTCAAATGGATACCTGTCGACCATCTCAGAGATGTGTGCAACAGGTGTCGGGTACGAGCTTTCAGGGATGCTTTCGATCTAAAGAAAAGCGTTTTGAGAGTTCATGATATGAAGGAAGACGGCACGGTATTTGATCCGGAGGCCCTGCAAGACATGAGCAAAAAGAATATGCCATTCATAAATCTCACTGCTCTGAATAGTATTAAGCCTAGCAGCGAAAATCCGAAATTCTACAGTTCTAAAATTCATCCTGACTATGCCAATCCGAAGTGGAATGAGTCTGAGGTATTTCGTTTTCCCCTTCTAGTTTTTCATACTATTTTGACGGACACGACCAATCCAGCAGATGCTAACAATGCTACTTACGCTCGGAAGATCTTCAGAAAAGTATACTCGTACGCCAAGGTTGAAAAGAAATACATCAACGCAGCGAAGAAAGAAGTCAGCATTGCCCTTCATATGTCAAATCACCCGAATGTCGCGAAACTACTGTTCGCCTTTCGTGATGTGGGGGCCGACTTTGAGGTAATTGAGCTGTTATATAAACGACACTATTGCAGCCTAGACATGATTACTTCAGGGACTCGTGAACTTCCACGAGGAACGAACTCAAAGAACACGGTAACAAACTTCACGGACCATTTCCTTTGGAAGGCGATGTTGAAGGTTGTCAGTGCTGTCGTGAATTTTCATGAGCAGAGACAGTCCTGCGGTCCGCTCGACATCAAACCCGCCAACATTCTTGTGGACAAAGATGATAATGAAGGAGTCATACTTTACCTCACCGACTTTGGACATGCAGCTCTATCAACAGCACGTCCAGCAACAGCTGAATACGCTCCGCCGGATACTCAGAGAGGGCTGAATGTTGGATCTCAATCAGTTGGATATGACATATGGTCCATGGCATGCGTATTGCTTCAGATCATCGTGTTTATCGATACCGACTTCGAAAAGTCATCATGGGAGTCTTTCCAGTCGAACCTCAGACGAGAATCGAGTAGCCCTGCTTTCTGGTACTTAGGCTCGGAAGGCCTACAGCTTCGGTCTGCTGTTGAACATAAGCTCACGGAGCTTGAGAAACAGTGGCAGCCGCGAGTCTTGGCAATCATCAGGAAGTTGCGTCAAATGCTGAGCATCGAGGCGAGCTCCAGAGGTACCATGAGAGAATGCCTTGAAGAATTTCAACGCCCGATCGAAAGCAGATGGCCTACTGGACAGGACCAAATGAATTGCGGTTGTGAAGGATGGTCTATTTTTCGCAGCAACTTGTCCTTGCAGGAACAGACACCAGCCCGGATCGGGGTGTACAGAGACGAGTCGAAGGCTTTGTTATTCGCCCAGCCAGGGGGATCTTACAAACACGAGAAGATAACAATCGACCTCAATTTACATGGACGCGAGTCTATGATGGATTCTAGTGAATGCCGTTCGATCTCGTTCACGTCGGCAAACTTTTTCGCTAAGGCCGAAGACGGAACAACGACTCTGATACTTCGTTTCAAAAATCTACTACAGAACTACAGTCTCCACTTCAATCACATGAACCAATATCGGCAGTTCATCACCCTCGTCACTCGTCAACGGATATTGGCTATTAGCGGAGATGTCACGGATTATTCGGGCCAGACAGACTTCCTCATCCAGGCTTGCGTGGCAAAGAAGATCTTCAAACGCTCCAGATTTTCGGATGGGAAAGCGCAGATATGGAAGTTACTCGAAGACGGAGAGTATGACGAAGAATACAATCGTTGTTCTGAGGAAGGCACGCCGCAACGAAGCAGTCTGAACATGCCGCACAGGTATACCAGAGAAAATATTCCAACTGATTGCAAGATAGTCCTGTGGATTCATAACGAGAACAGAGAAAAGGTTTGTATCGTTGTTGACGTCGGAGAGGACACGTGGGAATTCGACCAATCCCAGTCAATGGATGAGTGCCTAACTATCAAGAGAAAGTCTCTTCTCAACCGTACGAATTCGTCAAAACTCCGGGCTGCTATCTTATCGGCCGTACATGGGGACAGTCGTTTTTCAGAACCAGTTCCCTTCATACCCATTGATCCGGCTCAGCTGCAAAAGGAGTTGAAACAAGATGTCATCAGCCATCTCACTCTCACCTTTCAGTCTCAAGAGGGTAAGCCTGAATCACCCAATTTGCCATGGTTCGACTCCGACAATTGACAATATTCATTAATACTGACAACGACAGTAGACAAGCTTGCATTCAGACGCTTGATGCCGACATGACCTATGGGAGGTGAGAACATTGAAAATTGGGAGAATATCACGTCTTAGTCTGATTTCTCGTGGGCAAGCAATGAGATAGGGCGTTTGGCATGACATTACTAGCACATACAAAGGAATACGACCACGGATTAGAGTACGGCATTTAATTCAATAATACAATAGTCTCTTCAGAAAGATATATTTAGAGAAATCTAGCTAGCGGGGAGAGTGCAATTTACGTGAGCGACATGGTGTCGTGCTACTATCGGGCATTCAGGAGTACCAGGTTGCCCTGGGCTGAGCCACTAACCATGCATGCAGTCAAGCCGCGTCGACTTCCGAATCTCAGACTGATAGATCGAGCCCCCTACGCCGACACCATATAGTAATTAGGCTGGTTACTGGTCCGTCTCCGCTTCCCTCAGATCCCGGGTAACGGGGCACAGAAAGCTATGTAATAACAGAAGCCGAACGCAGAATCACTGGGTCACGCTACCTATTTTGACAACGTCCACGTTCCGAGTGAAAGCGACAGAGAAGATGGTACCTTCAACTTCCCCGAAAGTGACCAAGAGTTACTCTAGATTGAAGTATAGACTCAGGTGCGTATAGTATAGTAAGGCCAAGGAGCATTTGAACTCGAACATTATTCGACTCCCGTTATGTCTAGTCTGACGCGCTCCCTTCAGCACAGAACTACAGTCTCCCAACGAGGATTACAGTCCTTCCACTGGCTAAGCCACACATATCCCACCCCAACCCTCCTCGCAACAAACGGCGTACACGGCACCCTCTCAACAAGCATAACATTAAACCGCCACATCTCATGAAACTGCCCCTCAATAAACGCCCACTCGTTGCTCTCACTGACTTCCGTGTCAACAGAAGCACTAATCACGATGAAATCGAGCAACATCCTCCGATCCCTCGCTCCTTTTCGTCCTGAAATCCAACGGGTGTCCATCTTATCCAGACACCCTACGTGTCTCCCCATCATATCCAAAATCTCGGCATCCTCGCAATCACCCCTCCTCGCGCCCATCATCCTCCGGTCCCGCCCGACTCGTAGCGAGGCAACAGTCGTGTTGAACACCAGCGCCCCAGGTAAGCCAGCCGCTACCTCGACAGCCTCCGGATCGAGCTCCACGTGCGCGAGAGCCTCCCACGGACTGTGAGGACACTCGCGCCACATGGAAGTGTACTTCTCGTTGATCTCTTCAGGGACGTTGAACTTGCCCCCGGCCATCTTCCTTTGTAAAGGCGGCAGCTTCTCGATCTCGCTCATCCGGGCCAGTTGTACACAGCTGCCCAGCCACCGCTCCGTCACCTTGACTTTACGCAGTCCATTCCCGTCGTCTTCATGCTTTGGGGAGACGCGTCTGGCATCGTGTACGTGAAACTGCACCAGCGTCACGATCCGCACGAGCTTAGTATCGTATAGTCGCGCATCGCCGTGAATCCACCGATAACTCGCGGCACTCCCTCCCTCAACCGACGACCACGCCGCCCAGCTCCAGCTCGGTATCCTCAAACCGGCGTCATCTCGACGTCGGACGGCACCAGTGTGGCTCCACATGAGAGTTTGAGGGAGGTACATGTCCGGCAGGCCGAACGTCATCTTTGTGCGCATGGATTCGCCTACGGCGTTGCCGACGCCCGCGAAGGCATTAAGAATGTCTGTTTCGCGCGAGAGCTGTCGTGATGTATAGTCTTCTACCCATTGGCAGTAGTTTGCGAGGGATACTTGGTCTCGTAGCTTGACTGGTGCGTCTTTGCTGTGAAGCGCTCGGCGATAGAAGCCGGGGATGCTGGGCATGCGGTGTGGTTTCTTCTCGGTTATTGATTCGTCCATGTCTTCTTGAGCTGTATGATGAGCTTCTGAATCGTGTTCATCGATGGACTCCTCTGCTTGTGGTGGATCTGCTTCCTTACTGAACACGATTGTCGGAACTTCATGTCGTCCACGTCCCCAAGTAAGTTCCTCGGCGGCGTGACCCCGACAGCATTGGAACAGGACCTGATGCTCCGTGATGAAGATGCTGCGCCTGGAAAGTAGTCTCTCTTGGAACGTCCATCCTCTCCGATTCCACAGTGATGCGTCGACTACTGTTTGCAGACCGTTCGGGTCAATACCCTTCCCAACGTTCCGGTTCCGCGGCGGGCACCATAAGGAGGCGCGAGGCCTCCTAGGGTTGCCAGCATATCCAGGAAATCCATTACCCTGTCGATCATTCAGCGCGGCCAGGATTGAGAAGGATGCAGACTGGTAGATCCGGTCCATGCCGTCTATCTGGTCGGGCTTCGATCGCTCGTCATCCTGGACAATGCAAAGACGGTCCACCCATAGATAGCTCTCTCCGAGATCCCTGCAAAGAGATATCGCGTCTAAGATAATGCGCGGTAGCTTGACAAACTTGAGGCTCCCCGGAGCTTCCAGGTCCTCTGCGTTAGTTGTTTCCAGTTGGGCATGTCCCGATGCCTGGGAAGCTTCCCACATGTAGCTGAGAGCAACGAAGCGGACCGGCCTGGACGGCCTAACAATCTTCATTCCATGAACATCGATGACCCTAAAACCGATAGGTAGATGATCTGTTGTCCTGTCAGAGTTCATGCGCGCAGAGATGAGCTACCCATGGCCACTTACCAATCGACTTGTACTTGCTCACGCAGTGGTGGCCGTGAAGAATCTCGCAGCCATCAATCCAAACCTTCAATGTCTGAACGTCAAAATGTTCAGCCTCCCAACCTTCAATCGCCTGGAGTCTCTGAGGTTCGCCTGTCGAGTATCTGAAGAGAAACTGAGGCGTGACCGCAAAAGGAGATGAGAGCGAATCCAAAGCCTCCGGCTTCGACTTGTCTGGCACGGCACTCAGAGTCAATTCCAGAAACAACCTCACAGAAACTTCATCATCGGAAGAGGCGAACAACCGATACTTCTGGTCCTCAGCTAATCCCGAGTCAAGGAAGAAAGGGCCCTGGACTGTAACGAACAAGCAGGCTTCGGAGCAGTCATGTAACCAGTCATCTTCCCGCCGGCGCGCCTCGACAGCCGCGGCGATCGCGCAGCAAAAGAGACAATTTGACGATCGAAGTGTAATGTTCTCCAAAGAGAGGTAGTGGTGTGCCTTGGATCCCAGGCCGGCAGCAAAGTCGGGGACGTCCCAATCCTGGCACCGCTCACATAGTCGTGGGTTGGGGTTGGTCTGTCTGCGCTTCTGTACGAGCTGCGCGACGCGTGGGAGGTTAGTGGCGGAGGCGAGGCCCCCGAATGAGACGGCTTCGGGTCTCTTGGTTCTTGGGAGCATTCAATAGATTGGAGATCGAAGTTGACGATATTCGGATCAGGCGAACGTTCGTTAGTGGAGTGGAGATGGTGCCGCAACAAAGGCTTATGTTGGCATATGCTGAATGGTGCGAAAGTTGCCACTTCAGAGTGTGAGAAGAATTGGAATGATAAGGCTTGATTTCGTTGGAGTTGCAACAGTTGTATAAGACAAAGGTTCAATGTTTAAGAGGGTTTTAAGAGGATGTTGGTGATGATGGAATCGTTTTGTACAACTGAGCGAGAAGGTGTGGGGTCAGCTGTTTCCTGAGCTACCAAACGGGATTTCGATTTGCTGACCAAGATGGCGCTGATTCCGCTACTACCTTAGCTTGAGACTAAATCAACCATGACGACGTGCTTGTCTCGTCTTAGCGAAGGCAAAGTGATTAAAATCAATCGACATACGCGAATGTATACTAACTGGCGATGGTGGTTCATTCGGTCTGTTGTGGAATCGGCTGAGTAAACGTCGGAGCATTTTGCACGGAAGAGGAGGACACCGGAGGGTGGACTGAAGACAAACAATCATATACGATGAACAACCGAGTCAAGGCCTCTTCGACAGCATGGCAAGCCCAAAGATAGACCTCTTGCATTCCGTTGAACTCCCACCCTATGCCCCATGGCCAGCGACCTTCCTATTGTACATAATTCGACATCTCCACGCTCTGTTTCTTTTTTCGACTTTCCGCTGCAACCCATGGATTGCGTACTGAGTTTTCCAAGGAGAATCCCTTTCCCCTTTACCGTTAATTTCGTATACATGGCCAGACAGTGTAGGAGACGGTCTGCTGCGTGTAGTCTTCCAGACCCTTAGTCCCCATCCTGTATCAGGGTCATAGACCGGCTGGAAGACCACACACTTGTAATTAATAATTTGTAGGTAACGAACGTGGAGTGTGCTGTAATGCTGCACATCACTGAAGGGTGATGAGACACGAGGAAAGACGTATTCTATACATGTAAGAAGGTTATAGGAAATGAACCGCGTAGTAGACATTGGCTTCGTTGATCATGCATAGAAAGCCTCGAAGAAGTAGATGAATCCGAACACCAGGAAAGCAACAGCGCCACCAACCGTAACTGTGATATATTAGCTAGGAGCTTGTGGCGTAGATGTCATGACAACTTACCAACTTTGAGACTGACACGGCCTGCGATGGCGCGGCCGCCAATAACGGCAGCACCTGTGCAGATGCAGTGGCCGACCATGGCACCAAGAATAACCCACCAGTAGTCCTGTCCTGCAGCCATGGCAATCGTTGCTATCTGACTGCGGTCGCCCCATTCACCCAGGAAAGTCATGACAAACGTTTGGACCCAAGCAGGGCTGAGAAGAAGACCGAGGAGGTTGTTCAGACCGTTAAGAGAGCCTCTGATGCCACCGGAACCAGGAGAAGGGCTGCGAGGCGGCGAAGAGGAAGGCGAGCGCGGGGGCGAGGGGAAACGGCTCTTAGACCTAGACTTCCTGCTGCCGTTAAGGCCCATTTCCAGCGCGTAGGGAGACACCGCAGAGCCCCGTCTCTTACCCTCCTTCTCCTTCTCGGCCAACTCGCGCTCAACCTCGTGTAGCTCGGCAGTCACACCCTCATTAGGGTCCATGCCCAAACCTTCACGAAGGAGCTTGGCG